CCCTCCTCTCCTCTCCTCTCCTCTCCTCTCCTCTCCTCTCCTCTCCTCCTCTCCTCTCCTCTCCTCTCCTCTCTTTTCTTTTCTCTTTTCTCTTTTCTCTTTTTTCCCTTCCCTTCCCCTTCCTTCCTTCCTTCCTTTCTTCCTTCCTTCCTTTCTTCCTTCTTTCTGACTTACTGTTTTTATTTTATGTGTTTGAGTATTGTTTTTTGCCTGCATGTCTGAATGTACACTGCATACATGTAGTGCCTTCAGAGACCACACGAGGGTATTGAATTCCATGGAACTGGAGTTACAGATGGTTCTGAGCTCCCATGTGGCACAGCTTTAAGGGTGGTATAAATATGTGAAAAAGGAAATAGCATCTTTTGACTACTGTATGGGATAAAAACCCATAGACCATGCAGCACAACCAAAGATAGACTTGAGAGTCTCTATTAAGCCAACCTGCGACTGCCTAGTGAGAAAGACTTCTCACAGAGCAGCCCTTAATGCATGTTTTAGGAGATTTCAGAGACAAAGGACACAGATAAACTACATTCTGGTTGGCAGTTGCAGGGGAAGCAAGCAAGAAATCTAACAGGAGCCAAGAGTATGCAGTGAGCTGGGTCATGTGACCCTGAGTTTCTAGAACGAGGTAGAGTGCCTTTTTACAGAACTTTTCAGGGCAGAGGGTAGAAACCACAGATGGCTGAGATAGTGTGGAGAAAACTTTACCCCGTTACAGCCACCTGTCGTGATGAGGCATGTAACCATACTTCTAACCATACTATATTGTTTTCTGAGACAGGGTCTCTGTGTAGTTCTGGCTGTCCTGGAACTCACTCTGTAGACCAGGCTGGCCTCAACCTCAGAGATCCGCCTCTGCCTCCTGAGTGCTGAGACTGAAGGCCACTATGTCTGACCCTGTGCATTTTGTAAAAATCCGCGTGAGAGCTTGCGAGGTGGCTCAGTAAGTGTGCTTGCCGTCAAGTCTGACATCCTTAGTTCAGTTCCCTAGATCCCCATGGTGGAGGGATAGAGCTGGGTCTGCAAGCTGCCCTTTGACCTCCACATGTATGCCACACCCCCATCAATAAATACAATGTAAAACATTTGAAAATAGCCAGATGTGATCGCTTATGTCTTTAATCATAGCACTTGGGAGGCAGAGACAGGTGGGTCTCTGAGTTTGAGGCCAGTTTGGGGTCTGTATAGTGAGTTCTAGCACAGCCGGTACTATCTTATAATTGCTCTGCCTTGGAATGGGTGAAACATAGAAGATACTAGAGACGAAATGGCAGATTCGATCAACCTTGTCCTGCTGTTCCAGCTCTGGGTGACTGAGCGATCTTTGCGGTCAGAAGTCCTCCAGTCCCTCGGTGACAGACTTGCCCACTCAGATGCTGTAGTGCACAGCCATGACATCCTTCTGTAGTTCCCTCAGCTCTCCAGGAGGGCTTGAGTTTTAAAGGCCCTAAGAGCCTCTCGCCTCCCTGCTAGGGCCCATGAGGAAATGGCAGTAGTCACTTAATAAATAAGCAGTCAAGACTCACGTGGGCCCACTGACGTAGCATCGTGGAGCTGACAAGACACAGCCAAGAGGCACGGTCCTCACTCAGCATCTTGTTGTATCTTGTGTGTGAAGAAGTAACTCAGTACCCAGGCACCGGACTGTGCTCAGGGGCTCAGGGGGAAGAACAGCTTTTCCAGTGGGATGATGGGGCAAAGTCTGAGGGCAGAGTGCAGCCTGACCTTGCTGAGGAAGGCCAGGAGGACCAGGGTATGCTCCAGGGACCCCGGGATGGAAGCTGGAAGGCCCACTTTGGAGGGACAGGCACCAAAGTTAGTTCTGTTATTTATTTACTTAAAAATTGAGGGGAGGGGACTGTGCACAGAGTTTTTTGTGTAGCCCAGGCTGGCCCACCCCTGCCTCAGCCTCCTGAGTGCTGAGGTGACTGGAATGTGCTACCATGTGGCTTACTTAAAATTTAAGCACACAAAAGTTTGTGTTTCGTTCTAATGGCAATGCATGTTCACCATGGCAAGTTCAGGAAAGACCAGAGAATTCGAAAGATGGAAATCACCTGCTTCTACATTTGTTGCAGATAGAAGTTTTGTTTGTTTCATGTAGCTGTGGCATATGTATTTTGTAGCCCACCACTGTATACAGATTTACTGTTGGTGACTTGATAATATTCTGTTGAAATGAGTGATACTCCTTAAATGTTTTTACAGTATTTGCTGCTTGGATTATACCCAACTATGTTATAAACAGTAATATAGTGGATCTCTCTGTAGGCCAGAGCATTTCAAAACTAGACAGTTTTCTACAGCTTAGGTTTGTTTATAAAAGTAGAATTAGCATATTGACAGTTGTTTGGAAAGGAGTTGTTTTTCCTTTTTACTTTACATGCCGTTTCCTGGTGCTCCAAGACAATACAAGAGGTTTAGTTAGCTCACTGGTTCCCAAGGCTGGCAGTCCAAGATTAGGTGGATCCCTCAATTTGGTCTCCAGTAAGGCTCCCTTGAATGTATCACAATGTGGTTGACGGTATCATGGTGCAGAGAGCTCTCGTGGTAAGACCGGAAGACAGAGTGGAGAGGGCCAAACTTGCTCTTTTAAGACAAATATCTCTTTTTCTTTGTGTCTGTCTGTCTGTCTGTCTGTCTGTCCTAGCACTAGCTCTGTAGACCAGGCTGGCCTCGAACTCACAGAGATCGGCCTGCCTCTGCCTCCCAAGTGCTGGGATTAAAGGTGTGCACCACCACTGCCTGACAAAACAAATATCTCTTAAGGGAACTGACAGGGTGTCCTAGTCCCTGCTCTGTTGCTGTGAAGAGACACCATGGCCAAGGCCACTCTTGGAAAAGAAAGCATTTAGTTTGGGGCTTGCTTAGAGATTCGGAGGCTTGGCTCATTATCATCATGGCAGCGAGCATGGTGGCAGCAGATGCGGTGCTAGGAAAGCAGCTGAGAGCCACATCCTGATCTACAGCCGAGAAAGGACCTGGTGTGGGCTTTTGAGACCCCAAAGGCCACCCCCACTGATCCTTCCTCTAACAAGGCCACACCTTTTAACTTCGCTGATCCTGCCTGCTGACTAAGCACTCAAGCATGCGAGCCTCTGGGACCAGTTACTCAGATCACCATACTGAGTATCTTAGTTGGGTCTCTATTGCTGTGATAAACACCATGTTCAAAAACAACTTAGGAAGGAAAGGATTTATTTTGCTTGCACTTAGAAGTAACAAACAGTCCATCACTGAAGGAAGGCAGAGCAGGAACTGAGAAGAGGCCATGGAGGAACACTGACTTGCTCCTCATGGCTTGTTCAGCCTGTTTTCTTCCTTTTCTTCCTTTTCTTTTCCTTTTTTTTTTCTAGATAGAGCTTATCTGTGTAGCAGTCCAGGCTGTCCTGGAACTCACTTTGTAGACCAGGATATCCTCTAACTCATGTGCCACCAATGCCCAGCTCAGTCTGCTTTATTATACAACCCAGGACTGTCACCTCAACAGAGGGTACCGCTCACAATGGGCTGGCATCAGCTGTCAATCAAGACAAGGCACCACACTTGCCCATAGGCCATTGGCAGCAGCTTCTCAGCTGAGGTTCCCTCCTCCCAGATGACTCTAGCCTGTGTCAAACCAACATAAACTAGCCAGCACGCTGGGCCCCACAAGATCTGTCTTACTCCTTCTCTGAGGCTCAGCCTAGGTGACCTAATGAACCCTCACGAGGTTCCACCTTTTAGGAATCACGTGAGCCTTTGTAGGACACAGTCTGGCCACCACCAACAGCATCAGGTGAGAAAGACACCTTCTTAGGATCCTGATGGGAATCTATTCTCCGGCTGTTTTCTCTGATGGTAGTTTTTGCAGGTCATCATTTACATTCCCTGTACTTTAACCTCAGTACGCGACTGTTTTGTTCAAGTTTGCGTTACAGATGACCAACAGTCTGAGTAACAGAATAATAGAGATCTTATCATTTCTTCAGTTTCCAGGGCCTAGGAGATACCCCTGCGAGTCCTTACTGCCAGCCACGACCGTCTTCCTGGAAACGAACCTCCGTTTTTCCTCCAGAGCTTCGTACAACCTGAGTTAATTCAAGAAAGTACCAGAGGCCCTTTGGGAATGTGAGGGTGTATAAATTTTAGAGAATGATGTTTTATAAAAAGATGAAATTGTGTGTACAATTATTCTGAATGTTATTCCCACTATTACCCCTTTCTAATGACTGCCTTTGACATTGATGGGTAAAGGAAGTTTAGAGTCAGCTTAAAAGCTGCCGCGTTCTCTTAAAGGTTTATGCGTTTTGTAGATATATTGTCCGAGAGCAGTGGGACAGTGAGCCCTCGTGTTCTGAACATCTGGGTGCCAACAGTGCTCACAGACATCTGTTCGTGGCCTGGCTGCTGAGCGCTGCTGAGTTTTGATTTGTGACTATCTTTGCCTAACTGTTATAGAGCCAGGGTTGTGCTTAAATAGAGAAATGATTTCATAGATCCTGGGGTTATTTTCTTCATAGATTGTGCCTTTATATTTCATTCTGATTCTATTAAGACATAAAATTTATCTCGAATTGTCAATTCCTCTTAATTCCACAAGAAAATAGAATTTAAAAGAATAGACTCTTCGGAAGTAGGAATGAGCAGGAGAAACCATGAACACATCTTTCAGTGTTCATATCTAGTTTTCATAATAAAAAAAGAACTAGCTTGCTGTAACAAGTAAAGTAACATATAAGTGAGTTCACCCACGTAAAATGGTGTGGTTTCTCTGTCCCTGAGACCTGTGAGCTTCTGCCTGCTTCATCTGTGACATTTACTCCTCATTTTACAGAGTTGTCATGCATCTTCCCTGGGTTGCAAACGCGACCTCTTGCTGCTGGTGTGTACTGCATGAACATGACTGTCTAAGCCAGTGTGTTGCAACCCTTTGAGGGGTCAAACAACCCTTTCACAGGGGTCACATCCGATATCCTGAATAGCAGATATTTATTTACATTATAAATTACGGTTATATGAAGTAGCAACAAAGTAATTTTTTAGTTGGGGGTCACCACAACATGAGGAACTGTATTAAAGGGTCACAGCATTAGAAAGGTTATAGACTTCAAGAGACATCTAATAGACAACAGGAGACAGTTGTTACTTCCTTCTGCCTTTTCCTTTGCTGGGTTCTGGGTCTCAGTTCAACCCCTCAACTTTGGCTGTGATAGGCAAGCCCTATCTTGGGAAAATTTTGGAAATGATCCCCCTGACCCACACCCAAGACAGGCTTTTTCTTTCTGTAGCTTTGGAGTTTGTCTTGGAACTTGCTCTGTAGACCAGGCTGGCCTAGAACTCACAGAGATCCACCAGCCTCCCAAGCGCTGTGACTAAAGGCATGCACTACCACCGCCCAGCCTGGAAACAATAAATTGTTGTTTAAAGTCAGCCACTAAGTTTTAAGCCATTTTCCCCTACACATTTCCAAAGAAAAATAGGAAGGGTGATACACACACTCAGCTCCGGGTGCCTCCGAGAAGCCCTGCTGTAGAGAAGCCAGAGCCTTGCCTGGTCCCCAGTGGCACACATCACTGCTGTACCAGTTCTCTGTGACTGACATCCCCAAGCGAACAACTTGGAGGAGGAAGGGGAGTCATTTGTGCTGTGGTTTCCAGTAGTTCCTTCTGCTGCGCTCTTGGGCAGAGCCCCATGTGGGGGCACATGTGGCAGAGGGGGCATTCTTTACTTGATAAACATAGGAAGAAGATGAGCAGGAGGGAGGGTCCAGGTACCCCCCCCCCCCCAGAGACTTAATTCCTTCTCAACTTGCCTGCATCTCATAAAGGTTCTTCAGCCTCCCCAAACAGCATCACCACCTGGGGACATGAGAGCAAGAGGGTGACTTTCATGTTAACCACAATAAACAGCTCAAACCCAGGAAAGCAGGATGGCTAGCTAACTGTGTGCTGTGTCCTTGGAACTCGGATCACCTCTGGGTCTTGTGGGAGTGAGGAGAGGCAGAAGGTGGCTGGACATTGGGCAGGAAAAGGTGCATGACAAGAAAATATTGCAGGACACACACTGAGTACCAGAGGACCCCAAAGCAAGCCGGTGGCTGAGGAAGAAGTGTCCAACATTGTCAGAAGATCGCGAGTACTCCAAGTCGGAAGAAAACGCCAGTGCATGTTTGCAGGTGTTCTGCTTTCTCCATGCTTCACAGAATGGCCTCTCAGGGCATCTTTACAGGGCCTCCAACTCTGCCATACATTGCCTGGCCTCAGTTGCCCTCCACGACATCCTCAATCTTGTATATTTCATGAACATGAGTTCTGGGGACTGTCCCCTTAGCAGCACCGTTCTGGTCAAGGTGCAGCCCCGCCCATCACAGATTCTGCAGTGTGTCAGCTGCAGTCCCCTGGAAGCAGTCTGAGGTCCTCAGAACCATGTGAAATCTCTTCCTCTGAGACAGGCTCCCCTTTGGCTGGCTTGTTCATTCTCTCAGTCTGAGATTTAGGGTGGGGTGGGGGAGAGGAAACTTCCAGTTTCTTGGGGTTCACTGTTTTGGTAGTCTGATGGCCAGAGTTAGGGCAAAAGCTCTTTCGAGAAATCTTCATTCCTGTCTTGCCACTGGCATCCACCCACACCCCCTCCCCCTGCCCTCTGCCCCTTGGCTGTAAACATCCCTTGCTTTAATACAAAGTCCAGTCCCTCTGCCCTATTGTAGAGAAATAGCTTTCTCCCTGTAAAAATAGTCCCTGAATAAAGACGTGACATTTTAGCAACTTGAGACTTCAAACGAACCTGAGGTACCTTGTTGGCCTTGGCTTTGTAGTTTAAGATATGCTGGCGTTTGGGGGTGACAACTGACAGAATCTGCCTTGGGGGACCTGCAGGGAAAGAGCCTCAAGGCTTGTCTGAGGACTAATCCTCGTCTTAGGCTCTGCAGAGAGCTCTGAGGTGTCTGGCATGGAGAAACAAATGTGGCTCAGTCCTGTAGAGCCTTAGGGCCTGGTAAGATCTTTCCACCTTCAGATCCCAGCTGGCTGGAAGCTCCTTGGCCACTGCCAAGCTGCTCTCAGGCAGCTGCCCAGCAGCCTGATTTCTGATTTCACAATCACACCATGTTTCCGCAAACCCTTGTATGCTTTAGGTCAAGTAAACAGCCCTACAAACACATAAAGAAGCTGTTCTATCTACATTGATGGTAGGGGAGGGTCAGGGTGAGGGAATGAAGGAAGAAGGGAGGGAGGGAGAAAGGACAGGAGGAGTGAGAACCACCACAGCTGAGCTACCACCTCCCGCCCAGGCTGAGTGACGATGCTCTATTTGGATTGGCGGGAAAGGGTCAGGAGATAAACACGGGCCTTTGGGTTCAGGCCCAGTCCCTGTGCTTAGCCCAGCCGGTGGCGCCTGAGGTGTATCAGCACCCGCCCCGTCTGCCCTCGCCATGAGTGCTTCCGGCTCCTGGGCTCTGGCCCTCCATGGCTTCTCCGCATCCCGGGTCCCCAGGCAGCTGCGGTCCACCTGGCTCGGCATCGCCGCACTGGGACTGGCCGCGGTGGCACTGGGGACCGTGGCCTGGCGTCGCATGCGTCCCAGGCGCCGGCGGCTCCAGCAGGTGGGGACCGTGTCACAGCTCTGGATCTACCCGATCAAGTCCTGCAAGGGGGTGTCGGTGAGCGAGGCGGAGTGCACCGACATGGGACTGCGCAGTGGTCACCTGCGTGACAGGTACGCTGAACCCTGCGCCCCCCTGACCTAGGCTGTGTGGGTGTGGGAAGGTCAGAGGGGTCTCCTCATTCCTTCCCAGACAAGAGACCAGGAACTGGGGAAGGGGCGCCAGGAAATGGAAGAAAGTGATCCTGACCCTCCACCAGCCGCTCGGGGAACCTGGAACTCTCAAGTCTCCAGGTTTCTCACTTCCAGGAGAAAATAACTGTTCCCAATGAGACATGCCCCATGCCAACCAATCCCCAAGAAGAAACTTCAAACTCCCTCACGGAGCCCTTGGTCACTTTGCTTTTAGTGGTAGTCATAAACTCTAGAGAAACTAAGACAATTGATGCCAGAGAGCAGAGGGCGCGTAGGCACCGCTTGTCGCAGTTGAACACTTTCTTGCAGTTAAAAAAAAGAAGAAGAAGAAAGAAAGAAAGAAAAAGAAAGAAAGAAAAAAACAAAAAAACAAAACACGGGCAAGTGTTTCCCCAGACTCTCGTCAGGTTAGAAAGACTCCGCGCACGGGGCTGAACCTGAGATTTGTGCTGTCTTTAGCCACTAGGTAAACAGCGACTAAAAGTCCATGTGGACTCCCAGACTTCGGGAAGGGCACCTCTGCCCTCTTTAGGTCTGATTTCCCACCCACCAGTTCTGGGCCCAGACTGACAGGTGTTGTAACCTCCCGCTCAGCTCTTGAAAGCTAACACCAGCCGTGAGCCTCCCACCTGGCTGGGCCAGTGGGCATGCTGATAGACTGACTCAGCGAAAAGAAATGGAGGTTTTTGTCTCAAAGCCCTCCTTGTCCCATGGCTGATTTAGGGGCGGCTTTTACAAAAGGTCGCTGGGTGACTGAGGACTGGTGGACTCCTCACTGCGCGGACCTTGTCTTGTGTGACCCTTATCACCTTGTGCTTTGCAATTCTCCAAGACTTGAGAAAACAGATCATTAGAGAAGGAGGTGGGTGGCTCCAAGGCCTTCTGGTTGGTTGCCCAGCTCCCTGCCCTCCCCGCCTGCCCCCACTTGAAAATCCACTAACCACTCCCTCCTTCCACCCAAACACAGCAGTTCCCTAGAAAGCTGAAAAGTGATCTGCCGCACTTCTGCTTCAGGCAGCCAAGAATCCTAACTAGTCTCTGATTTCTAGAGTGGGGTCTTTGGACAGTTTCTGTCAGAGGCAAGAAAACACGTTTTGAACTTTTACCACAGCTGGGGTGGCAAACTCTTTACTTTTCTCACTAGCTCCCAGGGAACTGAAGCAAAAAAAATAAACAACAACAAAAAAAAAATCCAGTTAACCAACCAACCAACCAAACAAAAGTCATCAACTGACCAACTGGGGGACTGTGACAAGTAACAGGAAACAGAGAGGAAGGGTCCTGGAGGCTGGGGAACACTCAGGGAGAATTTAGCAAAGGACAGTAACAACTTGTAGTGAAAACTAGAAAACGGTTACACGATTTCCAGGCAAGTAAGTTTACCAGCATTCTAACCAGCTGGATGTAAATCCCAGGCTGAAAGACTGGCACACTCTGATGCTTTACCAGAAGGATTGGAAAACAGGGGCTTGAGTATAAGAAATGCTTTTAGCAACTTTGAAACCTGACTGTGCACAGCAGCAAGTAAGAAGTAGAAAGGACCCAGATGTCCATCGAAGGATGAGAAGATGAAGTAAAATGTGGTTTATGCAGATGGTAGAATATGGCCCAGCCTTGGAAAGGAGTGAAGGTCGAGTGCATGCTATAGCACAGATGAACGATGAAACAGGATGCTAATTTAAATGAGCAGGGCAGAGGGACTGTGTGTGGTTTTAGTTTGAATTGCTGAACTCCAGATTCATAGACAGAAAGCAGAGAGGAGGCTCTGGGGCTGGAGGAGGTAGGTG